TGGCCTTCTGCTCATATCAGAGAGGTTGACACAGGTTGTCATGGTCGAGCTGCCACTGGCTTTTTCTTTTATGAATCTGGCCTACCTCCAATAAAGGACACAGTCGATTGGAAGACTCTGAGTGATACAAATACATTTATGAAGAAAGCGAAAACTAAACATAAGGTCTCAATTTATAAATTTTTTCTCGCAATACATTTTTTTTCTTCATTTTTTAAACAAATAAGTCCTTATATTAGACTCCCTTACATTCTTTGGATATTAAAAATGCATTGCTTAATACAATAAAAGCATATAATGTTAAAAATGTCATGTAATGTATTTAAGAATACACTATTGTTCAAAAGTTTGGGGTCATTAAGACTTTTTTCAAGGAAATTAATACTTTTATTCAGCAAGGATGCATTAAATAGATCAAAAGTGACTGTAAAGAGTTTTACATAGAAATGTTCCTAACAATTTCAAATAAATGCTATTCCTTTGAACTTTTATTTTCAACAACGTAACTGAATTTTTTTTTTATATATAATAGTTTTCACACACAAAAAAAGCATAATAATAAATAAATAAATAATAAAAACTCAGCATCCCAACTGTTTCAACATTAATGATAAGAAATGTTTCTTGAGCAGCAAATCAGCATATTAGAATGATTTCTGAGAGATCATGTGACACTGAAGACTGGAGTAATGATGCTGAAAATTCAGCTTTGATCACAGGAATAAATTACATTTTATAATATATTCAAATAAAAAACAGTTCTTTTATTAGAGATTTCTTTGAAAAATGCAAAATCTTAAGATCCCAAACTTTTGAATGGTGACATACATTTTTTCAACAAAATATGGCTTACAAAAAAATCTCTCCAGTACAGGCGGATATAAGCCAGTTAGGTGGACTGGCTACTAAATAGTTAAAAGTCTGAGTTTTACAACTGTATATGTGTCGGAACTAAGCAACTGTGTTTCTTATGCCACAAACTCTGCCATTATTCATTTATGAGTGTACACACACACACACACACACACCAAAAAGAGATGTAGAGGTGTTGTAGCACAGCAAGTCTTCCACAAAGCTGCATTTGTTCAGTTTGCAGCAATGGCTATTTTTGTCTCCTGCTTACTCACTTCTGTCAGGCAGGCCATTTAAGGACCAAAGCAGGCCCCCACAAGGAAGATCAAAATCATTTCAATCAAAAATATTCCTGCGTATCCAACCACAGAAATATTAGAGCACATTATACCTGCCAACCACCTACACAGATGAATTTACAATCAAATGAACAGTTGCCTTTTTTACTCTTTATCTACACTATGTTTTGTTGCAGAATTTTATTTCTAAAATGTCAACATTTTAGCCAGAATTACCAATGTTTTTGATAATATAAAAGAGTTTTGCGTTATAGATATCCAGTAAACACCACCTCATATCCATTCATATTGATTGCAGTAAATTACCCGTCTAAAATACTGAGTGTCACAACTCTGGGAAACCAAATAGTCAGAAAGACCTTGATGACCTGTACCATCACACCTGATAAAAGTTACAACACACTCTACCCGCTGACCCAAAACAACACATGACCGTTAGAGACAATTCTGTGTCCAAATAATCAAATCAACCACATTATATAACACCAATTATGAAACGTAGGCAGCATTTATCAACAAAGAAATCCCAGCAAATACATCCACTGCCCCACACTTGAACTCTATGATGAAGCTGAATATCTGGATGTCAATATTTAGCTACCTGCTTGTTTGTTTTCATTTGATTGAATTATGTGTGTAGGAACGATATACCAAATATTTGAGGTTATGCAGCAATATTTGTCCCTACATGTGAATTAGGTAGCTGGTGTGTTGATTCTTAAATCAGTGCAGGATCTGTGAATAAACACAGATGTATGTGCTTTAATAGACCAATAATCAAAGTCATCTTGCAGAGGAGTTAAAACGCAGGAGGAGAGATAGTCAATATTTAGAGAGTCGTATTTGATTTTTTTTTTCTATGGTGCAAAGGTTTCTGGCTTGGTACACAACTACTGTGAGTGGAGTGTTTAGGGCTGGTGTGTGTTAGGATTGACCCATAGCAGAGAGTGTGTGCACGTTGTATGTTTGTACCCTGGTTAAAGCAGCGTCTCTTTCCTCTATGATGGCTTTCATCTCCTCTGAGGTGATCTGGGAGCGACGCTCTCTGGCCCTCTGGATCTGTTCAATGATGGCCGCCCCGCTCTGCTCGATAACAAGGGCAGAGTCTGCGCTGTTAACCCGGTTCAACAACTCTTCCAGGTCCTGACCAAAACATACAAACAGCATCACAACTCATATCAAAACTAACGCTAAATATCCTTTCAAAAATCACTTGATCACATTTTAAAGGAACAGTTCCAAAAAATTAACATTTACTCGCCCTCAGAGAGTAAATGAGTTTGTTTCTTCATCAGAACAGATTTGGAGAAATTTAGCATTACATAATTTGCTCACCAATGGATCCTCTGCAGTGAATGGGTGCTGTCAGAATGAGAGTCCAAAAAAAAGATAAAACATCACAATTATCCACAAGTAAACCACACCTCTTCAGTCTATCAATTAATATCTTCTGAAGTGAAAAGATGTGTTTATACACTGAACAAAATTATAAACGCAACACTTTTGTTTATGTCCCCATTTTTCATGTGCTGAACTCAAAGATCTAAGACTTTTTCTATGTACACAAAAGGCCTATTTCTCTCAAATATTATTCACAAATCTGTCTAAATCGGTGTTAGTGAGCACTTCTCCTTTGCCGAGATAATCCATCCACCTCACAGGTGTGGCATATCATGATGCTGATTAGACAGCATGATTATTGCACAGGTGTGCCTTAGGCTGGCCACAATAAAAGGCTCTGAGCTCTGGTGGACATTCCTGCAGTCAGCATGCCAATTGCACGCTCCCTCAAAACTTGCGACATCTGTGGCATTGTGCTGTGTGATAAAACTGCACATTTTAGAGTGGCCTTTTATTGTGGCCAGCCTAAGGCACACCTGTGCAATAATCATGCTGTCTAATCAGCATCTTGATATGCCACACCTGTGAGGTGGATGGATTATCTCAGCAAAGGAGAAGTGCTCACTAACCCAGATTTAGACAGATTTGTGAACAATATTTGAGAGAAATAGGCCTTTTGTGTACATCAAGTTCAGCTCACGAAAAATGGGGGCAAAAACAAAAGTGTTGCGTTTATAATTTTGTTCAGTATATGAAACAAATCCATCATTAAGATGTTTTTAAATTCAAACCATTGCTTACGGCTAAAATACGAGTCCTCTATCCATAATATTGCTTTCTCCAGTGAAAAAGTCGTCCCGTCTGAATCAGGAGAGAAATATGCACAGATCAAACACCGTTTCAAAACAGTTCTAAACCAATACGTTGGTGGATTTTGATGTGAGAGCACAACAGGGGATGGACTTTTTCACTGGAGGAAGCATTATTATTGATAATGGACTGGTATTTTGGCCAAAAGTGACGGTTTAAAACTAAAATGCCATAATGATGGATTTGTTTCTTACAAACATTTATCTGTTCACTTCACAAGACGTTAATAGATGGACTGGAGTCGTATGGATTACTTGTGGATTGTGATGTTTTTATCAGCTATTTGGGCTCTCATTCTGACGGCACCCATTCACTGCAGAGGATCCATTGATGAGCAAGTGATGTGATGCTAAATTTCTTCAAATCTTTTTTAGATGAAGAAACAAACTCATCTCCATCTTGGTTGGCCTGAGCATATTTTCAGCAAAATTTTCATTTTTGGATGAACTACTACTTTAAGAATTAAGAACAAGAACAAATATGCAAAAATATATGCAATTTGGTGCAGTTGCAGACATTTATATGGCCAAAAAGATGAAATTCTGATTCCTTGTAAATCAATGAGATCTTAATAAGAATATTGAAGATTACTTGCATTAAATATCAGTTGTCACTCTATATCTCTTAAAAATATGTCTGAGTATAATGATATTTCAATGCTTAGTTTATTGGTCAAAGCTCTGCATGCAATGCAGTACAATGATGACTGAGAGATGTACAAATATATGCTCCTCAAAAGCCTGATGTATCATATTTTAACATGATTTTTACATGAGTTACATGTAGATAAAACTTAGGTAAACCTAAGTTGCTTCAGTCCTCTAAGTGTTCATCTTGAAATATTATTAACAAGTTATTCTTACATTTACAGTAAATAAAAATCAGTGAAGTCAGTATCAATCACATAGAAGGTATGCAATAGATCAAGTACAGGTTTTTCAGCAAAGTTTTGATCATATTGATAGTTTAAAGAAATTAGCCTTTATAATGTTAAATACGGCCGTAAACACTCCTGAAATTTTAATAGATGACATACTGGTAACTACAGCAACATTTTGGCATCTCACTATTGATGCCAATGGACACTTATATGCTATTTTTGATGAAAGAAACAGAGCAACTTAAGACATGATGTCAAGTAATTATTAGCAAACCACTCTCAATAGAGGTACAGTTCAAAAACTGCTCCTCAAATAGCTATATGATTTAAGGTATCATTTATGTTCATGTGCAACAGATGCATAGAGAATTAACACATTTTTCATCAGAATAAGCATCAAAACAAGCCTTTTCTGTGGCTGTGTTTTCATTTAAGACAGTTGGACAAAAAGGGTACACAGAACAATCAGAGATGAAATTCTCCAGTGAGGAAGGCTTACCACATCACTTTCTTCAGGTTTAATATTCTCCAGCCTGGAGAGAGATGGAGAGAGAAAAGAAATGTGTGAGAGAGAGAAATAGAGAAATGAAATGTAGTGAGCTTCCTTGAGTTTCCTTTATGTCACTCTGCAAAATGAGATCACTTCCCAAATCCAGTAATTGCATTCCGTGGGTTTTGGTATGAAAGCAGAAGACACACTCAGAGATATTAAAAGTGCCGCCTGCTCGTGCTGTTATTCCACTCTAATGCCCATTCTGCTCAGAACTGACAGCGAATTGTTAAGTTATTAATGTTTACTACTTTATATGACTATTGGGATCAATTGTTCATATGTGTGGGGAAACGGAGAGATGGATTAGGCCTGAACCTTTTGTGCCACACCTGCCATGAGCATCTTTATAAAGGCAAAGACAACAGTCATTATGGAGCCAAATGTCTGGAGACACTCGGGTCACACACCGTTGGAAATATTTATGATTTTGAAGGTTTTTCATTTGGACCTCGATAACAAATGCACAGTCACAAAGATGTGCTCAAGGCTAATGTAGATCAACGGCATGGCAAGTCAAATCTTTTTGCAATAAATGTATAAAATATATACAGTGGAGTCAAGAGAATCTGAGATCTCACTATAAAAAAGAAAAAAGAAATAATAAGCGCAAATAAACAAAAAGCTGTAGGGTTTTAAAAGATTAAAACAAAATGATGATCACGTAACATTTTACATTAATTTCTAAAAAAAAAGTCTAATATTTATAATATTATTTAAAATTATTTTTTAAAAAAAGTTTAGTGTCGGTAAGATATTTTTTATGTTTTTGAAGAAAAATTATGCTCACCAAGACTGCATTTATTTTATCAAAACATATAGTAAAAACAGTAATATTGTGAAATATTTTTACAATTTAAAATAAGAGTTTTTAAGTATATTTAAAAAAAATAATTAATTCCTGTGATGCAAAGCTGAAATTTTAGCATCATTGCTCCAGTCTTCAGGGTCACATGATCCTTCAGAAATCCTTCTAATATGCTGATTTGCTTCTCATGAAACATTTCTTACTATTATCAATGTCGAAAACAGTCCTTAATATTTTTGTGGAAACACTAATACATTTTTTCAGGATTCTTTGATAAATAGAAAGTTCAAAACAACAGCATTTATTTGAAAAATAAATATTTTGTAACATTACAAGTGACTTCACTGTCACTTGATTAATTTAATGCATCACTACTTAGAAACTTCTTTACAAAAAACATACCAACCCCAAACTTTGAAATGGTATTGCAAATTCAAAATATATAGTCCCCACTGTATATTTATACTGCCACAGTTTCACTGGTTTCAGTGAGAAATGACGGCAGGTGAATTGCAGAAATTCACCCTGCCTACTTTTACAGACCTCACAGGCGTGATGCTCCTTTAAGAGCAAATCGAATTCCTCCATCAGCCACCAGGCAGAAAAAAACAACAACCCCTCCACTCATTTACAAAGGCATTACATGGATCTCCATCCATTATAAAGGTACATACTCATTCACACAATGGACCCAAGAGTGACCTCTGAAAATAAGGGCTTAGAACACGTGCGTCCATATTCCCTGAAAGATAATGGGATTCCACTTGGGTATCAATTATAATTTTTTTGAGAGAGGGGCCGGAATGGAGCCCTTGAACACAGCTATAAGAGGGATGCGATTTTATAATTAGATTTTGAAGAGATCTTGCGCTCATTGGGCGGCCGGAAAATGCATTTCATGCCTCTTGATAATTGCGGTTCGAGCGACTTGAGTAACTATTAATAAATCATGAGGCCGACTGAAATATTAAACGGGGTGTAAGGTTATACGAATACCTCCGGAAAAGGACGTCAAGCAATAAAGAAGAGCATTGACTCATCTTTAAATTTAAAATATACTAGTTGTTGCATCCTCATAAACATTGACGCTTTTTTAAACCACAACTAGTCTTGAACAGGATATAAATGCTTCCGTCCCCTGGAGGGCACAGGGCAATATTCATTTTGAAAGGCCCGTCATCAAACAACAGCACCAGTTATGAGCAGTTAAACATACGAGGAAGAAGATCATATTAATAATTAGGACCCAGCAGGCAGGGTGGTAAACGGTAAATATCCACAGGTCTAAAGCACGGGATTGATTTCCTATAGAGTGGAACTTCTGACTGACAACCCAGTACTAGGATGAGGGGACTCTTACAAATGTCACACCCCTCTGATATATTTCCAAACCAGTCGATATTGGATTTCCCCTCAAACCCTTGTCTGTTCATTCAGCTTTTCCTCTAGCAGGAAGAATAAAGCAGCTTCCCATTACAACGGTGAGTAAAGCCACATGCCTTGCGTGCTTCTCAAACCCTTAAATCCACTGCTTTTAAAAACTTTAACGGCTCTTGGACTAAGCAGCGTGGATACAAAACCTCAGGCTTTCCTTTTATCACCTCACATAAGCTTCTGGACCATAAAGTAAGCTTCAGAGATACCCATTCATCAACGATAAAAGAGTTGAAAAATGTGTCACTGAAGACGTTTATCAGATATATTCTAATGTTACCAGATATAAGCCCTTTTTACTACTCCTATCAATAAGTACAATACAGAAAAAAAGAGAGGAGAAATGAGATGCGTCAAGGTTTATCAAACTTTACCAACTGTATGAGCACTAAGCCTGAGTAGTATATTAAATATATATCAAATCTTCAATATTTCTTTTTGGCAATATAAAATATTGCAAAATTTCACAGCCATTTACCCCCTGGTGTCATTAGGATAGCACTACAACAGATATATTAAATGCAATTTAAAAAATTTTGAATTTCCATTCATTTTCAGCAAGTCTTTTAAACTAGAGTATAAGTTTCAATGAACTGATAAAAAAAAAAACTTGTGTTACCATTGAAAAATGTTTCAAACAGTAAGGCATAGTGCAAGCAACGCCAAGGGAATGCATGAACTGATAAAATGATTACCATTAATGCAATGCAAGTCACTTTGGATAAAAGTGTCTGCCAAATGTATAAATGTAAATGTTTTCAAACTACCATTTAAAAGTTTGTTTTTCGAAATAAGTGAATAAGTGTCGAAATAAGCCAACCAAGGCTGCATTTATTTGATTAAAAATGCAGTAAAAATAGTAATTGATTGAAAGCTGAATAAATAAGCTTCCCATTGATGTACGGTTTATTAGGATAGGACAATATTTGGCAGAGATACAACTATTTGAAAATCTGGAATCTGAGGGAGCAAAAAAATCTAAATATTGAGAAAATTGTGTTTAAAGTTGTCCAAATTAAGTCCTTAGCATTGCTTATTACTAATCAGAAATTAAGTTTTGATATATTTACGGTAGGAAATTTACAAAATATCTTCATGGAACATGATCTTTACTTAATATCCTAATGATTTTTGGCATAAAAGAAAAAACAATAATTTTGACCCATACAATGTGTTGTTGGCTATTGCTACACATATACCCGTGCTACTTATGACTGGTCCAGGGTCTCACATATTTTAAGATGCAATTTATTTCTGTGATCAAAGCTGAATTTTCAGCATCATTACTCTAGTCTTCAGTGTCACATGATCTTCAGAAATCATTCTAATATGCTGATTTGGTGCTGAAAAAACATTTCTTATTATTATCAATGTTGAAAACAGTTGTGCTGCTTAATATTTTTGTGGAAACAGTGTTAAATTTTTTTTCAGGATTCTTTGATGACTAGAAGGTTCAAAAGAACAGCATTTCTTTGAAATATAATTTTTGTAACAGTAAAATCCTTAATTGTCGATTTAATGTGTCTCTGCTAAATAAGAGTACTCAATTTTTCTTACTGATGCCAAATTTTCAACAGTAGTGCATATATGGAGATATATATGGAATAATGTAGCTGCATCGCCCAGCCTTAATCAGCACTAAAGCTCCACATGTCTAGACCCCTAAGCCAGGGCTTCAACAAACAATGGGCCTCATTTGCAAAAATAAAATTTCTGTGTAAATCACTCCTAAAACCATTCTGACATAATATTCAAGTCAAAGTGATAATTTACATAAGACTCATTATACAAATTACTTAGTATTTTATTATGCTACTGTTTTATATACAAGTATCGGTCTAATTTTGAGTATGATGGCACAACTTGACCACGTGAAAATTGCAAATCGAAATGATCAATTTTCATTTTGTGAGGAGCTTCTTGGAGAGAACAGAAATGATTAGAGCAGCATGTAGTTGGACAGACTGAACTGATGGTCTGGTTTTGGAATAGGTTTGAACGGCACATACTCCAGCGTCGCCTCCTGAAGCTTCTTGGCCCGAAGTAAAGCTTCATCCCTCTCCTCGTTAGCCAGACGCAGTCTGGCCATCACAGCCTGGTCTCTCTCCCTCTGAGCCTTATAGATTTCCTCGACTAATGCTGAGACAGAGAGAGAGAGAGAAAGAGAGAGAGAGAGGTTATTATTCTGGTATTGCACTCCAGAGCTCCAGCTGCACAATAACAAGGCTAAGCTCCTCGGGAAAGAGGTTATTGCAGTTGAAACACTATGGCATAAGTATTAATAACTCTAAGTGAGCCTTATTTTGAGAAGACAGTTTCCCCTGGGGAGGTGTGTGTGTGTGTGTGTGCACGAGTGCCCAGAGCAATAAAAACAGCAGCAACACCCTGAAGTCAGAGTTCCAGGCTCTTGGAGACTGGAGACATTTTATTTATGAAATTTCAGCATGAAAACACTCTGGTTTATCAACATTGTACGGGAACAGCGAGCAATTACACCAGGCTCATGGATGTCAGAAACCATCTGAAAAATATCCTCATATAGCAGGACAAACATGACTGTGTTTGACCTACAAGCCTCAGAAGGTCCAGGGGCATGCTGACGTATGCATTTCCAAAACAATATTGAAAACGAAGGCCCCTGGTGAATGAATGAACAAATGAATGAACTAATGAACGAACAAACAAGCAAATGAACAAACGAACGATGAATGGGTCCATGGGCATACTGACGACTCTCCAAGAATCTCCAAGCAACACTGGAGACAAAGACCGCTAGAAAATATAAATTACTGAATGAATGAACAAACAAACAACCAAATAATGACAATGAATGAATTAATTAATGAATGAACAATATATTATGGCAAAACAATATTGACTGCTAGCAAATATAAATGACTCAACGAATGAACAAATGAATGAACTAATGCAAAGGAATAAATGAATGAATAAATGAACAAATAAATAAACTAAACTAACAAATAAAACAAGTAAAAATGAACCATGAAACAATTTCCAAAGCATAATTATGAATAAAAACCACTAGCAAATATAAATGGCTGACTGACCGAACAAACAAACACAAAGAAATGAATGAATGAATTAACCATTGAACAAATAATATAAATAAACTAACAAATTAACCAACAGAAGTATCCATGAGTCAATTTCCAATGCCTTGTTAACCACAAAAGACCACTAGCAAATATAAATGACTGAACAAACATACAAACAAACAACTGAATGAATGAATGCAAAGAAATGAACCAATACATAAATAAACGGATGAACTAACAAGCTAAATGATCTATGAACCAATTTCCAAAACCTTATAACACACAAAGGCTGCTAGCAAATATAAATGACTGACTGAGCGAACAAATGAACAAACAAACATGTGAATGAATGAACAAATGATCCATGATCCAATTTGCTAAGCATTATTTCACACCAAGGCCACAAGCCAATATGAATGAAGAAATAAAGGAATTGAAGAATTAAAATGGACAAAGGACAGATGAATGAACAAAATAACAAGACAAACAAACAAAGAAGGTATGGAGAAATGCTTGAACGCAAACAAAATAAATAAACAAGCAAAGTTTATTCCAACTAAGAGAGTTTTAATTAAAATTTGCTGATTTTGATTCACGCACCCGACCTGACCTGCACCAAACTCAAAAATCAAGCAGACAATTTGGTCAAATCCACAGGATTTTGGCATTACCAAACGGTCTTTGGCACCATCTCTAATCCCACCGAAAGCGGCACTGTTATCCATCACTCGCTTCAATTCTTTCCTGCATGTTACGATAAACAGTCATTCCCACACTAAGCCACTACAAAGTTCACAAAGCAAATCAATATTGCTGGAATTTGCTGATTAAACATCTCCCACCCGAACTATACAAATCATATTGAAATGAGGGCGGCGAATACATGCATTATCATCGCCTTATTAAATGAACAATTTGGCTGCCTAATTGCGTGTCATATATGTCACGTGTCACATATTTCCGTTTAATGAACAAACTGTGAGACGGCGCTTTTTAGCTAGCTAAGTTCAAGCAAAAAGTGAATATTGGCTAAATTTAAATATTTGTTCAGCAAAGGTGAGGAGCGTGTACATTTCATCGACAAAATAATCAGTTACAGAGAGGAATGATCACTTCTGATGAGGGCGCTTTATGTTAGACATACTGGTTTATGTTTACAAATGTCAAAGTGTGCTTTTCTCGGGTTCTTCTGACATGTACTAACTAATTAATTAAAAGTGTTTATTCTTCAGCTGTGTTGGAAGGTCAGACGTTTGCATTTAGAGATCTATGCAATGTCACACCTCATACTAAACCCGTAAAAAGGTAAATGCTGCCATATTAAATGAGTCGACTTATTCTTTATTCCTTTCAACCATATAAACATCCATCTTTTCACCCATGCATCCTACCTGCAGCTCTCTCACTGGCATGTGCCTCCAGCTCGGCCTCCTGTAGCTGTGAGTCCAGAAGCTTGGTTTCCAACTCCTTCTCCTTCAGCGCCAACTTCTCCTGGAGCTGCAGAGACACACACACACACAAGACATAAGTAGAACTTTATAACTTTATTCATAACTTTATTAGGTCAACAAAATAAATAAATAAACAAACAACAAACCTGCTTGGTAGATGAACATTAATTTGTGTTATTTCCACAGTCTACCAAAAACTGTACATTTATAATTTTTGCATGAAACTGCATAAAATGTCAGGATGTATTTTACCCAAAAATCTAAAATATGCACTACTGTTCAAAAGTTTTGAGTTGGTAGATTTTCTTATGCTTACCAAGGCTGCATATGGTCAAAAATACAGTAAAACAGCAATACTACAAAATATTATTAACATTTTAAAAAACTGTTTTCTATTTGAATACATCTTAAAATATAATTTATTCTAGTGATGCAAAGTTGAATTTTTAGCATCATTACTCCAGATTTCAATGCCACATGATCCTTCATATATCATTCTAATATGTGACCCTGGACCACAAAACCAGTCTTAAGTGTCAAAATTTAGATTTATTAAGATCTCAAAGCTGAATAAATAAGCTTTCCATTGATGTATGGTTTGTTAGGATAGGACAATATTTGGCAGAGATACTATTTTGAAACTATTTGAAAATCTGGAATCTGAGGGTGCAAAAAAATCTAAATATTGAGAAAATCTCCTTTAAAGTTGTCCAAATGAAGTTCTTAGCAATGCATATTACTAATCAAAAATTACGTTTTGATATATTTACAGTAGGAAATTTACAAAATATCTTTATGGAACCTGATCTTTACTTAATGTCCTAATGATTTTTGGCATAAAAGAAAAATCAATCATTTTGACCCATACAATGTATTTTTGGCTATTGCTACAAATAGACCCCAGCGACTTAAGACTGCTTTTGTGGTCCAGCGTCACATATGCTGATTTGACACTCAAGAAACCTTTCTTATTATCAATGTTGAAAACAGTTATGCTGCTTAATATTATCTCCTTTAAAGTTGTCCAAATTAAGTTCTTAGCAATGCATATTACTAATCAAAAATTACGTTTTGATATATTTACAGTAGGAAATTTACAAAATATCTTTATGGAACCTGATCTTTACTTAATGTCCTAATGATTTTTGGCATAAAAGAAAAATCAATCATTTTGACCCATACAATGTATTTTTGGCTATTGCTACAAATAGACCCCAGCGACTTAAGACTGCTTTTGTGGTCCAGCGTCACATATGCTGATTTGACACTCAAGAAACCTTTCTTATTATCAATGTTGAAAACAGTTATGCTGCTTAATATTTCTCTCTTTTTTCAGGATTCTCCAATTAACAGAAAGTTCAAAAGAACAGAATCGTTTAAAATCTTTTGTAACAATTTTGTAGCAATATTTTACTGTCACTTTTGATCAATTTTATGTGTTCTTGCTGAATAAAAGTTTTAATTTCTTTATAAAAAAAAAACCCTCACCCCAAGTAAAACACTGTAATGGTTCTAAAATAAATAGGCTTAATTTTCTTTATGCAGAAAATAGATTTTTAGGTGAATTATGACCTGAATTCCATATATTGGCCACACTTTCACTGAAAAACTCATATCAGCCAACCACAACTTTATAACCCCTGCATCAAGCTTTTGTATTTGCACCACTACAAAAGAGGAACAGTCATGTCTTGGCTGTAAATCTGGATTGGTGAGTGATATTTTACGACTACGAGCCTCTCAATGATAGATTTAACCTCCTGTCTTCAATATTTTCATCCCGTTTGTTTTTGTCCTCCCGGACTTTGAAAACATGACGGGGTTGGGCCAGAGTCTTCAAAGGGCTCTCTCAGATCACTGCCAGCAAAAACACACTCTTGGGACATGTTCCTGCCCCTCTGTCAGGAATCACAACTACTTGCAAACCGGGGACATCAATTACAGTTGTTTCCCCCTTCTCCGACCCCTCAAACAACACGTCTCCAGATGGGTGCAGATATGCCACATACACTGACTAACACAATTTCAAGACTCTAGTCCTATGCCCTGAAAGAACAATGATGGAGCAAGAATATATATAATACAGAATGTAATGCAGTTTACTAAAGGTCCTCTTAGATTTCAATCCCTTCCCAGCAAGTGATAAAAGACGTATAGTGATGACTTTTTACAACGCAATCAACTCTTGATGGATTAAACCAAATCCAGTGAATCACTGAATCATTTATTCAACCGATTCATTCAAAAAGCTGATTCATTCAACAAGTAAACACCGTCCATTGCTCAGAGACGCAAAACAGTGATGTGATCTCTGTTTGGAACTATTTTCGTTGGCAAAATTGAGCAAAAACAAGCAGTACTATGTCTAAAATGTAAGTCACTTACTGCTTTACTGAACTTGTCTAAAATGATTATTAAATGTGTTCATGCTGATATCTGCAGAAAAACGGTACTCTTTGTGTGATATAGATTAAGTTAACTATATTAAATTATATAAATATAAAAAGCATAGAGAAGCATTTTTGCCGTCTACAATTTAGAATGCCTGGAATTTTGAGTTTTAATAGACTTATAAATCAACATGCGTGCACTCTGTTTGTGATTTGGTGATATAGCCTACTTGATAATGTCAGATCGCACATCATTACAACAACACTTGCAATATTATCGCAGACAATGCTGTATCGCACACCCCAGACTCGACCTTAAATGGAAAATGAATCATCCGCGGTTGTGCGCGCACTTGTTTGCACATGAGCAAAGGTGTTTTTAGGAGTCTAACTTGCAAACACCAGACCACCGATTCGTCAAACCTGCTTTCCTGCAGTCAGTGTTCTTCTGACTTCTGACTATTTTGTAGTAAGTAACGAATATGCTTCGGGGAAATGTATTGGAGTAAAAGTATACATTTTAATTAGGAAATGTAGTGGAGTAAAAGTAAAAGTTGGCTGAAACATAAAAACTCAAGTAAAGTACAGATACTCCCAAAAAATACTTAAGTACTGTAACAAAGTATTATTACTTCGCTACATTACACCACTGGGTAGAAGCAGTGCGTTTAATGGATTGTACTGTTGTTTAACAACATTGTTCAGCTGATGAAATGTCTTCCCGAAGAAAAACAACTTCCAGTAGTCAAAACTTCATAAAACAGTTTTGAAAGTACAAGTACAAGACTGTAAGTCTATCCCTCACAGCCTCGTTTTCATCTGTGTTAAGTTCAACATGGCATCTAACCTGATTAAGGTCTATTAGGCCCAGAATGACTGACTTCATGAACTTCTTAACATGTAAATTCACCTTCTTATTGAGGTCTCTAAGGGAATCCAGCTCCTTTAAGAGAAAGGCAATGTTTTTCTCTTTATCCAGAACTGGTACTTGCTTTTTGGAGTCGCTGATAACTTTGGAATTTCCCTGGTCCTCGTGAGCATGAGCATGCCTTCAGAAAATACAAAAGTTCATTAGAAATGCTCGTATATTAGACTCCCAAACGGGCAACAAAAAATGAATCATTCACATTCTGACATGCAATTATCAAATACACAAGGGATGCGGTCTCCCACTTTCAAGAATATTACTGTGACTTATTTACTTTGAGATATTAGTCAAATCATACAGTTGACCTTTAAGGTAATATTAAAGTATTACTGCACTGTATTGCACGGTAAATTACTTCCCTCTTGTAGCCAGGAATTTGATTCAGTTCTTATTAAGGAGGCAAAGAAAATGCATTGGAATCTATATTTATAGTTTCATGCTGCGATATAATTAAAATCATCTTACTATGGACAACCATGCTAAAAGTGAATATTACTGCTATATTCATATTCTATAAAGGCTTTCTCGATAGTACTCAAGACAGATGAAACTAAACAACTGTTGCCTATTGGATATGTTTGCAATGGCATACTACCTATTATTTTTTTAAATAAATTAGTATGTAATATGAATACTATGCACATTTTTGTTCACACGGAACAGTTGGATGACCTACTACATTTGTGTGGTATATAACAGAGCAGAGTGCATGGTATAATATATCCCACAATGCAATGCACTCCATTTGACAATTTCAAGAGTAACACATTTTTTGCATTTCTCCTTGTTGCATTATTTTATTAGCTTGGCAAAATTGTATGTATTTCTGCACAAAATAAAATAAAAAATAAGATATTATTTACTATAAATATTAACATAAAAATAAATATGTAAATATATAATTATATGGTTATGTAAAATTAAATATGTAAAGAAATAATATAAATTATTTATTATTAGAATTGAACAATAAAAGCAGCAAGATCATGTAAAAAACTGAATTAAAATATAACTTTTATATAAATATTAAAATAAAAATGAATATATATATATATATATATACACACATACATACACACATCATTTATTTGTTATAATTAATTATTTGACAACATTATTCATGACAACAATGAAGCACTATCATTGCTTAATAGTTACGTACTGATTTCCATACTATTTTTTAAAATAGTACACAGTATGCAGTATGGTAGTATTCCATTTTGAACACAGGAGAATTGTTTCAAGGCAATGGGAAAAATAAAGGTAAGGTAACAATTATTTTTATTTTAAGGTGTTCTTGTTACACGTTACATGCACTGACTATTATAATAACAATAAATTATGCATAATTACATGCAAGTAACCCTAAGCCAAACCCTAATCCTAAACCTAACCATATAGTAAGTACATGTAGTTATTTAATATTACTCAGTACTTAAATGTATAATTATACTGTAACAAGGACACTCTTTAAAATAAAGTGTAACCAAAATAAAAGTAAAAACACAAAGGCTGAGGCTAAAAATGCTGCAAACTAAAATTAGAATTAACTTTTCAGCCCTAATAATGATTGGATTTTGATTACTCCATGTAAGTAAGTCTCTCTGTTCTCCTGACCTGGGCGTGGCAGACCCTGCCCCGCTGACGCGAGGTGTGTGGACCGGACTGCTGGCTGTCTCGTTAATATCCTGCTCCTGCTGTGCTGCAGGTCTCTGTGAGGACCGTCTCTCCTCCTCCATGATTCTCACTTCAGCTGCAACTGGGCCTGGCACGGGTGGGGGTGGAGGGAGTCTGAGCATCAAACCTTCTCTGGGCCTGGGGGTCTTAGAAACTGTGCCAAAAAACAGAGTAAGAATAAGTAAGAGCCATATAGTATCACCAGGTGCTGGTATGCTCCAAAAATTGCACTGTATTTCTATTACCAAATGATGTCTAAATCAAAGTTGGCCTGTGTTGACCACTGATTTGACCTGACATGCAACATCACAGGAGAAGGGGAAAATGTCAAACATATTTTTCATTTCTAACGTTTTTTTTGTTTGCATTGAAATTTAATCTATTTTTAATATAATATTATATCAAATTTATTTCCATCTCTTGACCCTAAATCAACTTTTTGTTTATTTGTTGTAGACAATTTGATTGCCTCTGATTATTACTATTATTATACCATGGCTTTATGTGAAGAACAAAGTGAAATTAAATGTCATTCACTGTAAATCTTCACCACTACCACTGCTCTCAAATCTCATTTATGTAATTCAAATATGTGCATATATAAATTAGGCATACTGGTTACGAGACACTTGAGAACAAAATATATTTGGGGTTATTTACTTCAAATCTGGTATGAGATTTTTTTTTAACTGCCATATTTGATGTAAACGCGAGAAATGCAGTTAAGGAAAGATTATCACTGAAAAACGACTTAAAATTCAGCCTTTTACTCATAAAATGACGTCATATTAAGATTTTATGGAGCTTTTAGTCATTTTTGGATCAGACTCTGGTCACTACTGACATTCATTATAAGGAAAAGAGCATAACAAAGAAAGAAAAACATAAAGGTTTGCAGAAATCATTTTTGGGTGAACAATTCTTTCCAAATTTGAATTCTTTTATCTCCACAATTACAAGCTAGGGAAAAAATAGTTACTGTTTTCAAACAGGTTTTCCTTGGTCTGCTAAACAGATGATCCCACCCCAATCCAATGCTATTGGTTGAGTCAATGTTGGAATGTTCAAACAAATAGAGCATGTTTCAAAAGCACCACACTGTTTAGACTATTCAGTGACATCAACCTAAAGCTGACTGCATGTAAAAAAAAAAGTATTTTAGCATCCAGAAAAAGCTTTAGGAGCAAAATGAAAAGGAAAACCCACAAGAAAGACGTTGCAACCATAACATACAAGACTTCCATTCTTCTGCTGGGAGATTACAGTCTGACGGTTTGAAAGGCAGCTCTGTTGGTTGGTTTGCATCAGCTCTCTGAAAAGGAAACTAGGTCTGGCCGTCTTTCACGAGGGAATGTGGCGATCCGTGCCGAGTGACTGGCAGGAGGGGGAAAACGAGGTCTTCTGTCAATGTTTCTGTAGCGCTCAGGGTCAGAGATGCAGGCGGAGAGGCAAACACAGAGGCCTGTCTCTCTGGCAGCCTTTCTGAAAATGTGCTTTGCTCCTCAGGGAAAGCTGGATGTAACCCGGATCGTTTGTGATCAAACCCAAAGTGTGACGGCCCTTGAATCAGAGATATTTAAACGAGTGCAAATTTGTGATGACAAAACTAGTGAAGATAGAGACTTGAAAGATACAACGAAGGTTGAAATTGTGAGAAGCAGAGGGTGTTCAAACTATTTTTAAAGCTAAAATGGAATTTTTAAAGCTAAAATGCATCATTTGTAGTTAAAAAATGATGTCTTTCAAACAGGTTTCCTGAATTCATCTTCCATTGGCCTGCCAAACAGATAGTCCCACGCTATTGGTTGAGTGTTGCTGGGTGGGGCTGGTCGGGATGCTCAACAAACAGAGCAATGTTTTGATAACGCCACAAAGCCACAATGTTTACACATTTCAGTGGAATCAACCTACAAAAAAATGACACACTTCAGCTTTAACATCTACAAGCAAATTAAACAGATAGTAGCGCTAAGTGCATGCACAGGGTCAAGTGCTTCACAAAAAAGCCGCCTGGCTATCCTGCGATTATAAAATATACATAAATCAGTTCAACATCAATGCAATTCAAATTGGGCAAAACTCAAACACACAGTGCTTAAATCAAAAGCATCAAAAAAAAGGGGGAATCATTCTGCGTTAATAAATGCGTTGTGATGCTCGAGTCTTGCGACAACGATGTCCAAAAAGCTCCAGCTTAGCCGCCACAATTATTTAGCGAAAGGTCAGGTTTTGAAGTCGAGATCAGGGAGGTCTGCCTCATGGCTTTGTTGCTAGGGCTCTGCTCTCAGGATCGCTGGAGACAGTTATTAGTATTCCCCATAAGACTCAACCGTGCAAACACCAGATTCAAACCATGAATAATAACGCCAAACACACTTTATAGAAGCCCTTTGTCACACTGCAAATATGCGACTTTTGGATACATTGTTCCCTAACCTGGGTTACTTCTTTAATTTTATCTCCCTCTCCGGGTGTCTCTCACAAAGGTAACTGCCCCTGAGAATGTGTGTTTAAAGCGCCATTTCCCTCACAAATGGGGTGAACGTGGCTTTTAATCTAAGCGTGCAAAGTAAAGGCCCATTTCTTATGGGAACCAAGTGAAAAAGGACTCAACATTAAAAGCAAATTCAGAAATGAAGAATTGGCTCCCTTTCAATTGATGAGTGTGAATTTGAATTGAATTGGCCGCAAACCACATGCTATTGGATTGAATGACAGGAAAAGTAATTTACTGAATTGTAATTCAAAGAAACTCAACAGAGTTATACAACAGTTGACCTACATTCGTCCACCACAACAACAAAACTGGCAAGAAAAGATAACTTGGATGTTCAATCTGAAGTTTCCATTTTATAAGCTTTTTGGCTCCATTTTAAAGACTTTTAATTAAAGCATTTTGAGTAATTAAGTCTTTTTCCACAGTGGTCCATAAAACATAATAATATTATATGTATTAAATATCGAACTACATAAAAAAAATATATAAATAAATGTAAAAATCATTAAATATTATATAAATTATTAAGCAGAATATTAAAATAAATAAAAAAATTTGAAAATCAAACATTGATTTAAAAACAGTTTGAATTGTGCTATTTGAAGTCTACATCCTGTTTGCTGCCTCAATTCAAATTTAGGAAAGTAATTGCCATTTAAAAAGTATTCTTAATTCAAATCTAAATGATTTATCATTTATCACCATGAAAAGACATTTTATGTAATAAATGGGGCAAAAAATTACCAGACATGACCATTTCCTCCATTGATTCTAACAACTGTTTTGTGCCATCTTACTAATGTCTGTCACTAATAATCAAACACAGGCTGATTAACCGCCTGCAAAAAGGTTGAAGTGTTTCACCAACAGCCCAAATGTATATTTGAGCAGCGAGGCAGAATAAATTTGCATATCCGGAGCGTCTGGTGAAGGGTCGGTAAATACTCTGTTTATCTCTCATTGTCATTCCAACCAGTCTATCTAAATAGTGGCTCTTCTACAGCGTTATGGCCTAGGTAAAGTTAATACGCAGCAGCCCGGTTTTATTGAATAATGTAAATAAATGTTTATGTAGATAAACGAATAAATAAATACATGTAAATAACTGTTAATGTACTATATTGAGCATTTAGACATCGGGAAGCCTGTAAAACATCTCTTTATTCATAAAAACATTCTGGCAAAAATGCAGGAGGAAATGGTTGCAGCATAAATAGTAAACAAATGAGGCAAGAGCCTTACAGAACTGTAAAATAACACAATTATCTTTTTAATACGATTTAAATTTTTTGTTGTGATTTGATAGCAATTATCATATATAATGTATTACCTTCTGTGAGTTTCTCCTCCAGGGCTTTTGATAAACTCTGACATTGGGATGTAGATGAAGTAGTTCCTCCTAAAGAGGATCTGGAAAAAAAATATGCAAAATGTATGAATATGCAAAACAAATATATAAAATCAACACTTTTTTTTATCTTCGATATCTCTAACAGCAATGCACTTTGTCTGACACACTCAGGTGAAGACAGGTACAGGATATTGACAAACTGTACATCAATGCCACTGCTTTGAAGGACCTGCATGTTTTGTTTCAAAGCGCTGAGTAAAGCGAGGACATGAAGCAAATATCAAAGACCTTCAAGAGTTCTGACCCTAAGAGGACAGAGTTAACTCTTTTTACAAGTTGTATTCTTTTGCAAAGCAAACACAACTATCAGTATCAAGAGTAAATAAAAATACAACTTGAGTTGTAATATGCAAACACTATAAATGTGAAGTATAGCCAAAATGTACTTTAATGTACTTTTTATGTACATTGCAAACTGAGCTAATTCATAATTTCAGTATACAAAATGTATACTTCCAAAAAACCCACAGAATTCTAGTTTAAAAAGTATAAAGCAAATGCATTGCATTCCTTTGTAATAAATAATAATTTCACTACAAGTTTAAATGATAAACTAAGCCAATTCAATAGTGCTTTAAAATAATTAACGTAACATTTTTCAATGCATGCATTTTCTGCACAAACATTTCACCTGTAACCAAATGACATTTGCATCGCACTAAAGATGAGCAGCTGATTTTTCAACATTGTAACACCGTTTTGGATTTAGAAAACACATCTCTGCAAAGATATCATTACAGCATGTAATCATCGCCTGCAATGTACACTGATAAACATTTCGCACATATTAAAAAATCGTTCTTAATTGTACTGATTCACCTGGAAGAAAGCCATTGACAAACAGTGTAAAAATGAGCCGAGGAAGCCATCTTTACCCAAGTTGTGGTGTGGTCTCTGAACAATGGTGCTTTACAGGGGACGGCAGCCTTTGTTTCAGTTCTTCATTGACTTTAGGATTAGCTGGAAATATATAGAAGGGATATGATTAATTTCACTGCGAAACAAAAAAAAATGCTTTTCATCACAGGCTCTAGCTCACTCCTTTCCCATTAGACTTAGAAAGGTTAGTATTAATTACAGCCTGTCAATATGATCTCGGGGTGCTTGGTGGAATCTTTAATAACCTCTGGAGTAGAGGCAGCAAAACAAGACAGGCAGCTTTTCATTTGCCGTGTGAAATTATGCTTTAAGACTTTGTCTTTATCTCATCCACTGTGTACCAGTGCTTTACCTCGCAGTTTATGGAGGACTAATGAACGCGGGCAATTAACAAAGCGTAATCCCACCATGCAATCGTTTTAATGCTTTTAGCTATCAGAAAAGTAAACAGTCATTTAATACAGCTCAAGCCATATCAGATCCTAGTCAGGAAGCGCCAATTAAAGCGTCATCTACTCAGGTGTAATTAAATAATGGTGGATAATTTAACGGAAGCTAATTCATAAGCAAGCAACAAACAGACAGGAGGCAATTAGCAGGAACGCTGACATTCAGACGGCAGAGCCTGTTGATCGCTGGCAGTAGGAGCCGTGGTGGAGAGCTTCCCTCTAGTGGTGGAGCTTCTGAGACAAGAACTTCTTAACACAACACACACACCGGGGGCTTACAAACGTAAACACTTGGCATTTCAGTTCTGTCAACTATAGGTGCTCTGCGGTGTCACATTTACAAACCAAATGAACGCGGAACGTCTTCAAGAAAGGGTCGGACTGAACCTGGCAAACACAGAATGTTTCCCTCGTGTTTCCTGGTCGGTTATTTTTTTGGGAACCACTTTGGTTAGGAAAACCTTAATAGGTCACAAATGTCTTCTAAAGGATTCCCACTTCCCACACCACTAGGATTTTCAACATTAAGGATTTGTACTTACAAAGAGCAATTTCTAGCCAAAGCAATAATTTAGAGCCTAAAAAACTGTGTCCCTGAACACTTGGTATTTTATTAATTCATACGGCATTTCTAATTGTAAAAATGACTTAAAATTTCCAAAGCTCTCCTATTTAAAGAATTTGTGCTTCGCAAATCTTTTAAGCATTATCAATTTTCTGCCCTGAACTGCTCATTATGTCTACTAAAAAAACTTACAAAATCATTGAATTGACATTTAATTTCCTGTGCTGGGGTCAGAAATATTAGTTTTTGGAAGAAATTAGTGGATGCATTAAATTGATGAAAAGTGACTATAAAACATTTATGTTTAAATAGATTTCCATTTCAATAAATGCTGTTCTTCTGAACCTTCTATTCAAAAAATTAAAAAAGTTTCCATAAATATAACTGTTCAGAAAATCCTGAGCAGCAAATCATCATATTAGAATGATTTCTGAAGGATCATGTGACACTGAAAACCAGACTAATGGCTGTAGAAAATTCAGCTTTGCATCACAGGAATAAATTACATTTCAAAATATAATAAAAAAGAAAACACTTATTTTAAATTGAAAAATTCGTTTCACTGTATATTTAACAAATGCAGTGTTTGTGAGCTTAAGAATGTTTTTTCAAAAACATCTTTTGAACGGTGTAGTTTTTTTAAACTGCTAATTTGTTAATTGGATCAACTTTTAGAAGCACACTACCAAAGCACATAAATGACCACAAAGCTAAAAGAGTGTAGAACATGTGTTTTGTAGAACAGAGTGTTTTCACTAAAAAGGAAAAAAAAAACATGTTTTTAAGAACTGTTCACTAAAAGTCAACCTAAATTGAAACCCAAAATGGCACTCTATGGCATCGCTGGCAACTTTTATATTTAAGAGTGAAAAACCCAACTATTTTAAATTCCCAGCATCCTTGAAGATGGTATATGTAAAAACCACAGGACAAACAATGATCAGGTTCTTGGGAAAAGGAAACAAAGGTCATGAAAACGATAGAGGGGACGGCGGACACCATGAGAGAAAGTTGGCAGAAGAGAGCTAAGACGACATAAAAAGTGAGTGCTCTTGGGAGGTTGTGCGCGAGGCGGGTGGGGGTGACCCCTGGGGCAGATGCCAGTGGAACGTTATCCCCGCGCTGTAAGCCAGCACACACCGCTCACACCGCTCACACGCTATTCAGCTCAGACACAGTCAGGCGTGAACGGACAACTGGCTTTTTGTGCCAAACACCACAGGGCTCCATTAATCTCAGTGATAGACTCTGAGCGGGAGCTGGCCCCGCACACCGCACTTTCACAGAGAAAGAGAGGACGACGAGGATGAAGAAAGACTTTAAAAATAGTAGGTACGGCTAAGATGCCTGGTAATCCGTTAACACTAACAAGAGAAAGCAGCTTTGGAAAAGATAGAAAGGGGGAAAAAACAACACAAAGCATACAAACCTGACCTTATGATGTTCACGTAATTTTCGGAGAGACACGTTAAACAGTTCCCAGAAAAGAGCGCTTTACCAAATAAATTTGGGCCAATTCATTGATTGACACCGTTTCCTGAGAGAATCACCCCCAAGAAACTTAATGAAACTGATACTATCCAATAATCCGATATTGAAAAACAGGGAAGTTTGTGCTGAGTGCAATAGGAGGCCGGTTTCTTTGCGGCTCCCGCTCCAGATGGTGAATTAGCATCGCATCTACATTTTTTACATAATCTGCAGGAGTTTCATGATAGATTAATGAGCTATTAGCCTTGGTGCTCGCAGGGCAGTGACGAAAACTACATTCACGCCAAAGCTTGCAGAGTGTAACATGTTACAATGAAGCCAATAACCAGTCATTGTGTATAAACAGTGGCTCCACGGCTAGTTGAGGAGCTGATTCAAATCAAATCATAGTTTAATCGTAGTTTATTCCTCTGAATTAAATGCTCAAATAATTACATAAATCACAAACCTTATAGTTAAACTGTTAAAAGTACCAAAATTGCAGTTAAAGGCCACTAATTGAATTAAAGTGTGTGAATTTTTTTAATGTTAAAATACTTTGTTTTATTCCAGCTTCATATCCAGAAACTGTAAGATATTCATAAGTTGCCCAAAAAATAGAAATATTAAGGCATACAGTAGCACTGTCTCAACCAATAGTGTGAGCTTAGGGCGGGACTATCTGTTTGACCGGTCAATGGCAGACAGAAAGAGTTTTTGGGAAACCTGTTTGAAAACAGTTAGCCTACATAAAAACACACACACACACACACCACACACACACACACACATATATATATATATATATATATATATATATATATATATATATATTCTTGCAATTTGATTTTATATGTAAAAAGATACATATATGCATACATATGTATATAATATTCTTTTCTTATTTTACTATATAGTGTTAATTACAATGTGAAAATGTGAAAGTCTGTTAGAGCAATTTAAAAACATATCTGTCATATCATGTGAAGAAGACACAAAAGAGGAAGCTTTTCAGATTTTACTATCATTTCCTTCAGATAATGTTGAAGACTTCATCCATATTCGTTCACGGGGATAAAACGTGAGTAAATAACGGAACATTAATAGGTTAGTAGCCCACATCAAATGTAAAAGACGGCTCAAATCGTACAAAACAGCATTTGCCACTTAAAGCCACTTTATCCTTCCTTCAAACTTTTCTAACACAAAAGAGGAAGCTTTTCAGATTTTACTATCATTTCCTTCAGATAATGTTGAAGACTTCATCCATATTCGTTCACGGGGATAAAACGTGAGTAAATAACGGAAAATTTAATAGGTTAGAAGCCCGCATCAACTGTAAAAGACGGCTCAAATCGTACAAAACAGCATTTGCCACTTAAAGCCACTTTATCCTTCCTTCAAACTTTTCTCATTTCAATTTGTCCTTTGCTGTCGCTCAGTGATCTTCATTTTCCTGTCTTGTAGACTTTAAGCTAATTGCCTCGGTGGGCTACTTATTATTCATGTACAATTATTGCAGTGTAATGTCTTTAAATCCTTTTAAATGACCATTCATGCGTCGCATTCATTGAAAATGCCTTTGATGTCTGTCAAAGATGGAATTCTTCAAAAAGAAATGTCTAAGCCTAATTTCAATCGCTCGATGAGGGGGGTTTGGCGTTTCCCTCTAATATAAACTAAATTCCATTAATTTTTTAAGCTGCATTTAATGCATTTCCTCCGCAAAAAGTTTCCAGATTCTTCAGGCTGTCATTTGTATTCCAGCTGACTTTATGAATATTAATAACAGTGTTATCCTGATTAAACGGGCTTCATGCGAAATCCCCGTGAATCTACGAGCTCAGGATTCTCGTCTTACCGAATCTTTATGAATTTTGATACGGACATTAATGTGGAGAGAGTCTTAAAGCAGGTTTAATTGTACAGCATGCTTGTGCCTCCGAAGGAAAAAGGCAGACATGAATTGATTTGATATGGATAAACAGGCTCTTTTATATGGGGAGGTGTGCACAAGCACCTGGGTGCACCTCGCCGTGTAATTTGATTGTCACGGGCTGTCGTGAAGCTTTGAATAGTCTTGACTTTTCCTAGATCAAAAGATTTTATTGACTCGCTGACAGATATTAACAATAGAAACTGTTTTTGTCAATCAGTTACATGTGCTGTGAGCTGATTCTATCTCACTGGAGGGCTGGTATTTGTTTCCTTTTTCCATCTGTTAATGCCGATAAGTGAAAACTGTTTCTGAATCAAAAATAACTGCAACTGAAGGAACAGGAATGAAGACAAAACAACAACTTGACTTTAAAAAGCTGCAAAAGTTAAACATTAAAAGCAAACTATATAAAGTCAGAGAGCACTACTGAAAATGATTCTATTATTATTTTTTCTTCTCATAAATAAATACAAACATTAAATCAATTATTTATCAGATGCAATTAATAAATATTTTATATAAATCTATTTAAATTAATAATAATTAATTATTTTACTAATTATATTTTTAGCACGAAACATCATAAGAATGTGAGTGAAAAGTTGAACTGAAACTTTTACATATTTTGACAATGTCGTATTATTAGGCATGTTCCACT